TAGACAGAATTGACCAAATGTTGTCCGGTTGGAAAGGAAATTTTCTTTCCTTTGCTGGGAAAGTTGCCTTGATAAAAAGTGTCCTTTCTAACTTGTCGACTTATTATCTATCTTTATTAAAGGCACCAAAGGCAGTGTTGGGGGAGATAGAAAGAATCCAAAGAGAGTTTCTGTGGAGTGTGAGGGCTGAAAGAAAGAAAGTACATTTAGTTAAGTGGGAGGTGGTGTGCAAGCCTAAAAAAGAAGGGGGTCTTGGGGTATGAAGGGTGGGGGCCTTTAACAAAGCCTTGTTGGGAAAGTGGATGTGGAGATTTGGTAGAGAGAGGGAGGCTTTATGGAGGAGAGTAGTGGCTAGGAAATATGGGGTAGTGAACTTTGGGTGGGATTCAAAGGAAGTAAGACATTCTTATGGGGTTTGTGTGTAGAAAGGGATAATGAGTTTTAATTCTTTAATGGTCTCTCACTATTCCTGGAGAGTGGGGAACAGATCCAGCATTAGATTTTGGGAGGATGATTGGTCTGGGTTAGAGAGGCTTTGCGAAATCTGTTCAAGGCTGTACAGATTGGATCGGAAGGGTGTTCCTATTTCTAATTGTTACGAAGTCTCAAATGGTTCTGTGGTATGGACACCAAACTTCAAAAGACCTTTACACGACTAGGAGATGGAGGAATGTGTGGAGCTGCTGTCCAAATTGCAGTCATTGGAAATCAATCCATCATTAGAGGATAGCAGGTGGTGGAAGGAATGCAAAGATGGGAAAATTACAGTCAAGTCAATGTACTCAATTTTGATCAGAAAGATGGTGGAAGATAATCCAGTTCAGGGAGTATGGGGGAAACCTGTGCCTCCAAGAGTGGAAGCCATAGTTTCCAAGACGCCAAGGCGAACCTAGGCAACAGGGGAGCGCTTAGTCGCCTAGGGGTCGCTTAATGTCAAAAGAAAATATAGAATAAAAGGGGGATGAAACCCCTATTTTATCCATTGCAATAGAAGTAACAAAAGGGCAGAGCCCCTATTCTTGTCTTAGAAGAAAGAAAACATAAAATAAAAACCTCACAAATCATGAACAAGAAGGGGCTCCGCCCCTGTTTTAGTTCAAAAAATGATGAAGATGAATCTTTTTTCCAGAAAAAGAAAACAAAGGGGCAGACCCCTGTTTTTTGTTCCAGAAAGAGGAGTGTTTTTGTTTCAAAAAACAAAGAAAGAGTGTTCTAGACTTCTAGTCCACTGATATTTTTTGTTCCACGAAGAAGTGGAAGAAAAAGGAGGGGCAGAGAAACTGTTTTTGTTCAAAAAAGAAAAAGAAATGGCGAGCCCCTGTTTTTGTTTCGAAACAGAAAATGAAGGGGTGGAGCCCCTGTTTTTATTCCAAAACAAAAAAATGAAGAAGGGGCGAAGCCCCTGTTTTAGTTCCAAAACGAAAAATGAAGAAGGGGTGGAGCCCCTGTTTTTGTTCCAAAACAGAAAATGAAGCCACTCCTTTTTTGCTCGAGAAGAAGAAGAAAAGCATACCTTCTTCTATGATCGATTTCCCTTTCTTGTTCAAAGATGTACAACTTGGAACCCTCGAACTTGACTTCGAATATCAGACCTCTCGAACTCATCATCATATATTATTTATGACAACTATCATGGAAGCCTTTGCTTGGCTGCTAGCCAAGGGGTGTATTTTGACTCAGGACATCATAAAGAGTCGAGGATTTCAATTCTCAAGCAGATGTGCCCTTTGCTTATCAGGAGAAGAAAACATCATGGATTTGTTCTACAGGTGCAGCTTCATTTCCTCAATATGTTCTATTTCTTCAAGCTGTTTAAGATGGACTGGTGGTCAATCTCAGATCAGGCTGAAATCTTTGGACTTTGGTCAAGAGTTCAGGGCGATTCTAAGGTCAAGCTGATACGGAGCTGCATTCCATTTGCGGTGTGCTGGAAATTTGGAAAGAAAGAAATAAAAGAATCTTCAAGAACAAGAAAAAAAAATTGGGAAGAAGTGGTGGCTCAAATCAGTTCATCAGTTTTAGGTTGGGTGTTAATCCTGCCAGTTTTTCAAGGATTAAAGAAAGAAGATTTTGGGGCAGACTTCTGGTGCTCTTTGAATGATTAGTTTTCTGGGTTTCTGGTGTAATTTGTTTTAAGTCTGTTTTGTTTTTTTCTGACTGTTTTTTGGTGGTGACCTCTTGTCACCTTATGAGCTGTAATCTCTTTTCAGTAATATTTTTTTTCTTTATTTATCTTCAAAAAAAAAATGTTACTTTTGGAACAAAAGTGAAGTTTTGGGAAGGCTTATGGTGGGGAACGGTTGCCTTTAGTCAAGCCTTTCCAAGGATCTATAACCTTTCTACCTTAAAAAACAAACCTATAGCTGACTTAGTAACTCATGATGGGAGAGGGTGCGTGTGGGATTTGGGTTTGAGAAGAGCTTTGAGAGAGCAAAAATTGGGTGAGATGACCTTTCTTCTTGACATTCTCAAACAAATAAAATTTGAATCCCTTAAAGGTGGATGAGAGAGTATGGAACCTAACTCTATTGGGCTGTTTCTCCTGTGCCTTGTTTTTCCAAACCCTTCTTCAAACTCCTGAACCAAACCCTTTTTCCTTGCAAAAGAAGTGTGAGGCAGCCCTATTCCTCCTAAAGTAAAGGTTTTTTGTTGGGAAGTTGCCACACAAATCATAAACACCTGAGAAAGGCTTCAGAAGAAGTGGAAGAACTGGTGTCTCTCACGGTCTCACCTCATATTTTTGTCCTTTGTTTCAGAAATGGGGAAACCACTAACCACCTCTTATTGCATTGTACTTTTACAACCCAACTGTGGGCTCACTTTTTCTGTCTTTTGGTTAATGTTTGGGTGCCTCCGGCAGAAGTCAAAGAACTGTTTAGCACAAACTGGGTAAGATGCTGCACAAAGAGACACAAGATTCTATGGCAATGTATTAGAGGGTCTGTACTTTGGAGTGTTTGGCAAGAAAGGATATGCCAGGTTATTTGAGGGAAAGTAAAGGAGGGTGGAGGAGTTAAATTGAACTAACCATGATCAGAGCTGCCCACTGGGCCATGGTATGTAAAGAGCTTAAAGGGGTTTCCCTAAATGATATGTTAAGGGAATGGAAAACTGTTGCTGATGTTCAGGGCAGTAAACCAAGGAGGGAGGTCAGTTGGGCTGTTCCAGCAATGGATAAACTCGTGTTGAACTTTGATGGGTGCAGCCTCAGAAACACAGGTAATTCAGGTATTGGGGGTGTGGTCAGAGAGCACAATGGAAGTATCCTACTAAGCTTTTCTGGCCTATTGTTTTGGAAATTCTCAAACAGCTGTATTGAAAGCCTTCAGGGATTGGAATTGATGAAACTAAAGAACTAAAAAATGTGGAGGTGGAAATTGATTGTCAAACTCTAATAAGCTGGCTGAAGAAGCAGGATCTGGTCCCTTGGAAAGTTAGACCTTTGGTAAGGCAGGCACAACACTTGGGGTCCTTATTGAATAGCTTATTCAAATGGGTACCTAGAAGTGCTAATGGCCTAGCTGATTCTTTAGAAAAGGCTGGGGTACAGAAAAGTCAATTGAATTGGGGTTGTCCAGGACCGGGGGCAAGCTTGTAACACTTTTATCTATTTTTTGTGGTTTTTCTGTTTATGTTTGTGTTGTTATGATTGTTAGAGATCATGTTGTTTTGGATTTGTTTCTTTACTCTTGTACCATACTTAATTCCATTGTTTTTTGTAGTGGTTTCTCTTTAATGAAATTTATCTGTTGCTTATCAAACAAAGAATAAGGATAATATAGAGTCTTTCATGTCTAGAATCATGCCATTTTTGTACCTAGTGATAATCAAGCTCTTCCCACATACTTTTAAGAGTTATAAAATAAGAGGCCAAGCTCAACTCCCCATAATGAAAAGAAGTAATGTCCTGATGAAGCTGATAAATCCTGGAAATGTTTTTTCTTATGCAGAAATATCCTCTAGACCCTATTCTAGACTAAGAAATGAAAAAAGATCTATTAATATGAGGTTACACAGAATTTAATACACATGACATTACTGTTTCTCTTGCTCCCACTTCTCATAGTAAGAATCATCTGTATCAGTTTTCTTCTTCTTGCTAGTTAAGTACCAGAGTTCCCTTCTTCCACCAATATAGATCTTCATGGACAAAGATCATTCTAGAAAATTAATTCAATCAAACTTCATGATTGTTATCCATAGGTTGGGACAAGATAATCTCCACTAATAACTCCAGAAGTATTAGTAGAAGAATCCGGTGTATCTCCTCAACTATACATGATAACAACTTAACAAAGAAACCACTTCACTGGAAACTTCCCAATGTATGAGAAGGAGAAAAGAAAAAAAAAATACACTACGCAATCAAATAACAATCTTCAACAACATAAAGAAGTACCTAGATAGCACCTAACCAATTATATAGATCCAATGTGCCACATGAAAAATATGAACTTCTGAAGTATGCCACTAAAATAGTAATGTAAAAAAATGCATAAAAAATTCTATATGCATCAGAAAATTATGAGACAGCTGCCCTCACTCTCAAATTATAAGAGGGCTTATCAATCTTTGATCTCAGTCAAAACAACTTCCAATATAAAGTTCTCATTGAATCTCTCAAATTTCTGTTACTGACCTTATGCTATACGAGTGAATTTGATATTCACAGGTTATATACTGAATTTATGGCATACTTTCAAGGATCAATTGATATTTCACTGTTTCAACATTGAAGGATGAACCAACTAGCAAGATAATTGTAATGAATTTAAATCCATGGAACAATTAATACAAACTCAATACAACTATAACCTTAAAAATTAGGAGATTTTGTCTAATTTTACATTGGAATTAATTATATATGAAAATTTTCCAGTAAGTTTTTTGCTTTTTAAATAAAGGCTAAAGCTGTTCCAAATGGTCGAAGAAAGTTGACAGTGATCATCCAATATCAGCTTTGAGAATAATGAAACTGAAATATTCAGATAAATACTTACATCCCAGCATTTTTAGCTGCAGCAACTCCTGAGGGAGCATCTTCAAACACAAGAACCTTACGAGGATCCAGAGGACCACCCTAGTCACCAGCAACATTCGTAAGAGGTTTTGCTTTACTAGTCTCGTTCTCAAAGTTAAATAGTTAAATGGCAAATTGACAACAAACTCAACCAAGAAAATATAATTTCACAGTTTCTAATCAAAATAAAAGAAAAGAAATAATACTTATGATGTTTTGTGGAATAGTGATACCTTGAACCTTTTGGCAGCTGCAAGAAAAATATCTGGAGATGGCTTTCCTTTTTTAACTTCGGGATCATCACCAACAACCACATGATGCATCATTGAAAAAATTTCACCATGTCTTTGTGTTTTCAATTCAAAATGATGCCTAAGAGTACTGCCATATATATCTTTGAGCAGTTAGGCAATGCTGAAGACACTCAAGATGTTCTATGTACAATTTTAAGTGCCCTTATCGAAATACAAAAATAATTAACTCCTAAATCTTGTACAACAACAGAGGCACTTCAGTCTAAGCTACTGTATAAATTAAACAATACAAGGATGAATCATACCCCGTTGCCACACACATTGGTATTGCATTTTCATGAAGATGCTTAACCAAATGGCTGACACCTATGAAAGAACCCAAATAAGTGAAGAATCAAGTGTTTGCAGGTAAAGTGAAAAACAACCTGCTGAAACAAAGAAAAAAAAAAAAAAACAGAAAAATAATGAAGAGAGGGAGGAGGAAGATTCAAAGAAGAGAAGAGAAGAGAATGAAGGGATGGAGAAGAGAGAATTGTGGATCTCTACTGTCCCTCTCGATCTGTTTTATTAACCTCTTAACCCCTGATTGGGGCGGCTGTATATTAACAATAAAAAAAGTGTCCAACAGGCCCATTAGCACAGAAAATAAGTATAATGCTACCGATTGGCATTCAACCCATCTTTCTTCAGCTCCTACTGAGAGTAATGAAAATTGGGCAACAACTGGAAAGAAATTTACATCATTGGCTTCTTACAAGTAGAAAGTAGATCTCTTGAAAGTTGAAACATGAAATGGATATATGGTCCAGTTAAGTTTGCAAAAATTTTCTTCTTTATTCTTGTAACAAGGTAAAGATTTATCAAAAAAAAAAAAATGAAGGGATGTGAACAAGTATAAAGAACTAAAAATATGATATAAAAGTAAATGTGCACAAAAACTAAAAATCATACACCATAATGAATCAATCATTTTGTTTGCAATAAATGCAGACATTCTTCTTTTTACAGTGAGATGCAATGTGTCCAAATCCCATACATCATAAGTCTGTGTGTGTGTGTGTGTGTGTTTTGATAGGAAATGTGACTTTCGTTAAAATATTAAAGCAAGATATTACAACTCCAGCATTCTCAAGCTGGAATGATGAACCCAAATTAATAACCATTGTTACAAAGTAGCCCACAAAAGTTTACTCCTGTTTGATCCTTGTTTGGCTAGAGTATCAGCCAGGCCATTTGCTGTTCTTCTAACCCATTGGAAGTTTGCTTCAATTTCCCTTGTAAGGCACCAAACTTCTCTCATAGCTTGCCTGTGGTTCCAGATTCCCAAATTTCCAGTTTTCACCCAGTCTATTACTAATCTTGAATCCCCTTCCACTTCAATCTGGTGTACTCCCATCTGTTTATCCAGTCTCAGACCTTGCAGCAGTGCTAACACCTCAGCTCTTAACGAATCGCACACTCCTACAGGCTCCGAAAAAAGAGACAAAGTTTTGCCTTCCCTGTCTCTAAGACTCCTATACCTGAGGGCCCCGGGTTACCAAGGGAGCTTCCATCAAAATTGAACTTTATTTTTTGTTGTGTAGAGGCTGCCCAACTCTCTTGAATTGCTGGGCTAGATCTTGAAGAGTTTGCTACTGAATCCCAGCCCCTGATTATATCACCCACTGTTAATTCCATAAACAACTCATCTGATTTTACCTAATGCACTATCTTGATAGTGATGAAATCAATCAAATCCTCCCTCAATTTTCTTTTTCCCTGAAAGGTTCTATTATTTCTTTCCTCCTAAACTGTCCATAAAGCCGCGGTTCTTTTGGCTCTCCACAACATCCTTCCCCTTCTTTTCGGTTGTCTAAAGAAGCTTGCTTCAAAAAGGCCTGCTCATAACACTGTTTTAGAGAAGCCCTTACTAAGGGTCCAGTTGGTTTCCTGGAATAGGTGCCTGGAATCAGAATAGGAAAGGGTCATTCCAATTCCAACTGTTTGTTTGGAAGGAATGGGATTCCCATTCCAGAGTCTGTCAAGAAGTAAAGAACTCATAACAAAAACACCCCCAAACACTAATATTAATAAAATAATAAAATATTAATAAAAATAGTACTATAAGAAAAAAAAATTGATGAATGTACCATAAGAAAATATTAATAAATTAATAATAACAAACAAAGGTATTAATTATTTAATATAATAATAATGTATAATTAAAATATTAATACAATATAGTTAAAGTAATAATAAAATAATAATAATACAATATTCATAAACAATTCGTCAAATAATATATAATAATAAAACATTAATAATTAAATAATAAAGTATTATGAAATTAATAATACGATAATAAAAATAATAAAATAAGAATATATTAATGAAGAAAATAATAATAAAAATATAATATAATTAAAGTAATAATAAAATACTAACATGTTAATTATTAAATAATAATAAGTTAATTTAAAATAAATATAAAATAATAATAGAGATATTATTTGTAATGATAAAACAATAATAATATATTAATACAAAATTCATAAATTAATGATAAATACTAAGATATTAATTATGAAATACTAATAAAATAATAATAATTATATATTCATAAAATATTAATAATGTAATAAATAAAATAATAAATAGAGTAATACAAAATTGAAAATTTTCAGTTGATTCCAATTCCAACTCCAAATGAACCAAACAACAACAATTGTAATCTGATTCCAATTCCTGACCAAACCAAATAGGCATTCGGAATAGGTGATTCCAATTCCGATTCTGATTCTGATTCTGATCCTGTCTGCGAACCAAACGCATCCTAACTGATTTCTACTCAAAATATTAGATCTTATTATCTTATACTTAGGCCTAAGCCTCATAAGAAACCGGTTCACCTTTCTCTTCTTAAAGTGTTTCTAAAGATACTTAACACACTCTAAAGAATCCGAAGGATCAATAGAAACTAATTCACATTCAGCCCACAAGTGAAGAAACCCAACATAATATTCCTGTATCTTCTTATCCCCCTAGCAATAATCAAATATTTCAGATTCAATTTGATACTATCTTGACATGTTGGATTGGCAATAAACCTTCTTAAAATAAGCATACATCTCATAAATTGTTTGTTTTCTTCTTACAAGTACACAGCAATATGAGACACTATCGAGCTGAGAATCCAAGAGACTAGTTTTTTTTATTAGCAACTCAAAAAGAAATTTTATTAAAGCTTAAAGAAGAGGATAATACAACAAGAAGTTGTTAAAAATAAAACCCTCTACAACAAAGAGTTCTGCAACCCTTTTAACATTGAGCCCAAAACATATGATGTTTGTTAACTCCTAGCTTAGCTAGACCATCTGCCATCCCATTAGCGGACCTCCTGGCCCATCTTACATGAATTTGCATCTATCTTCGCAGCAACTTGAACTGCCTGAATTCATTTCTGAATTGGCATAACACCCCTTCTCCTTTTTTCAACCAACCACTTACTACTTTTGAATCACCTTCTACAATCAGCCTTGTAATTCCCATTACCTTAGCTTTTTGCACCCCAACAATAGCAGCGAAGAGTTTAGCTCTCACTGAATCACCCTAATCAATAGGCCTTGAAAACAAGCCACAAATGCTTCCACTCCCATCTCTAATGACTCCTCCATTTTCGAAGCGTCCCGGATTTCCAAAACTACTCCCATCAAAGTTAAGTTTCATCCACCCACCATTTGGGGGAGACCAAACTTCTAGTACTTTTTGTTTCCTAGAGGAGGAAAGGGCAATTGCCTCCCAACAAGAGACTAGTTCCCCATTATCTAGCTTCCATTGTGCAAAATCCTTGGCCTCGGATTCATCCAGTTGGTAACTGCCCCATTCAAATAACCCCCTAGGCCTTTTCCTTCAACAAAAAAAAAAAAAAAAAAAAAAATAAAAATTAGGGGTGCTCACAGTTCAGTTAACAGGACCATGAGGGTTTTTTAGAAACTGAACCAGTTCTACCGGTTTTCCATATCTCCAAACCGAAACTGAAACGATACCACCAGTTGACCGGTTCGGTTCTTGGGTTCTTCAGTTTTTATATTTATAACATATATTATAAATAAATATATATATAATATTATAAATATGTATATTATATTATAAATACTATAAATATATAATATATGTAATATATTATATGTTATAAATAGATTATCATAACTAGATAATTATAAATATAATATATGTATATATTTATATATAATATATAGATAATATGTGAGATATATTAAATATATATAATATACATATAAATACATATATCATTCGGTTCGGTTAACTGAAAACCAAACCGGTCCTTAGGTTTTTTAGAAATACTGAACCGATCAATTCGGTTTGCTCAGTTCAGTTCGGTTTTTTATGAGCACCACTAATCAAAATGGAACTTCCACATGCTGTGTAATTGGTTCCATCAAACATCACCGAAATAATATCAACCTTCTCAGCCATTTCAGAGTATAAATACAGTCCAGAAACAACATGACAGTAACTAAAACTGAGAGAAAATGAATAATCAACCACCAAACTTGATCAAGGGCTAGTCTAGGCATGAGGGAGGATACTCCACAACTGAAAGATAAGGGAATCTCCAAAAAAAAATCCCTAAACATCAAGGTTTAAGAGTTGACAGTCCCAAAAAGGAAAGTTGCAGGATTGTCAAATCAATGAAAGGACCAAAACCCTTCTAAAATCTGACTGGAACTTTGAACCAATTAAGAGAATATCAAAAGTAGGTCAGGGTGACACAAAGCCTAGAGTATTAGGCCAAACCAATCAGCCAATTAGGAGGAAACGAGAAAAAACCAACCTGTTGCGCATCTTTTCCAGGAAAAACAACAGTTCTTTGGCTGATCAAAACGACCTTCAGAGAACTCTCAAGCCAAAAATCAAGGGTAGAAAGAATAGCTCTTGAACCACCTTTCTAGATCAAGGATTCAATCTGGTTCCATTGCAGCAGATCAACACACCTGCTCTGATACCATGTTAACCTAGCAGTTCGAACAAGGAAAGCAAACACAAGTTCAGGGGTGTCAATAAAATAAATCAACCCCCACCCCCAAAGAGTCCTATATATATTAATGATATGTACAATTACAATAAGGCCCTTACAGGACTGAGGCTAAAATAAAAGAAAACATAATTAGGTATAGAATACAATAGGTACTACAATGATAAAATACATCAAAATGCTCCACACTTTCACCTACTGCAACCCTGACTGGACATAAAGAATATATGCCCAATAAAGAATGGAATCAAGTAAGCTCCATTTAACAATTGACGGATCAGGACCTTTAGATCTGTTACCATATGGAGTAGAATAAACTACACAACAGAACAGAAAGAAACTAAATGGAAGGGAGTATAAGTTGGAAGATCAGCTAACGATGATAGAAAAGGTGGTGATTAACATGAGTAACATGTTAGGAAAGAGTAGGGCTCAGGAAATAAAAATAGAGCTGGAAGAAGATATAAAGTTGGCACTACATAATGGTGATGTTGAATTAGCATTAACATTGGAAACCATAATGTCATGTCCAGGTAAAATATTGATAATGTTACCTAATTAGCAAACTATCATGAACACTAAGATTATATTTGGATGAACTTGATATTCAGGATAAGAAATGGACTTGAATTCTGTCCAGACTAATTCCACTAAGTTAATATGACCTCCTCCCCCTCCCCCACTCTCAAGGTGAAAAGAAAAAAGCAGAAATATTTGTTTTTTTTTTATCAATAGCAGAAATATTTTAATCCACTCAAACTTATGAAATTGATAGCTGCAAGTTTACAAGTTTGGAAATTCAGCTCAACCATCCATAAAGAATCTGGAAATTTGTCAAATAGATCCCCTGAATTTGGTTTGCCCTGTATAAAAGAAAGATTCAAATAATTGACCAGTATCCAAATCAAACATTTAACACCCATGCATGTTGGTTACAGCCTTACAGGTGCTTCATTCAAAAAAAAAAAAAAAAACTCCATGCATAACATAGCATTTCAATGGTTATCCATCATAAGGATAAAGGTATTTGGGCATCTTGCTGCTGTTCTTGCTCATCTATATGAAAATCATGCCACTAGAGCCTAATGAAAGCATTCTCTGGCATGCTATCCTTCTAATATTTTAAAGGAAAAAAAAAAAACTAACAACTACCCTTATGCTAAAATAGTGCTAATAAAAAAGGAAATAAATTAAAGGTAGTATGAGGCACAACACACAGACACAAGAAGAATAGGAAATGGTCCTTCTAGAGATACCTGGCATAAGCTCAGCAGTTGGAAACAACTTCTGCAGTGTCTCTTCTCTTTCCTCAAGAAACTTCTCTGCAGAAAGAGATCCACTTATCCCTGTCTCTTCAACAAAAACATGAGCTGCTTCTAATGCTTTCTTCCCCATCATCTTTGCTTTGAGAGACCAATCAAAAGTTTTATTGAATCTAGCAAGTATAAGTTCTTGGACTTCAGTATAAAATTTCTCTGTGTCTGCATTTTTAAACACCCATTAGATCTTCTCTGCTTCAAAATTTTAATTTAAAAGACCGCAAAAATGTATCTTACCCAATCTATTAACTGAACAAGAAAACAGAGAACTCAAATATACATCACACTATTATTTATTAATGAGAACCCCATCTTGTCATATGAATCCCCATCTAAACATCTCAATGGTGTATATCTGATAACGATGCCAAATTTACAGATATGTACCATTGAGGCATCCAGTCTTGGATTTACGGAAGTTGTCCAATAATCACTTTGGCTTCTTATGGGGTGGAAGCCAATAAATAGTTTTCAACTGTCGGAACGAATTTGACAAGGGAGGAAAAATTTTACATGGTTTTCCAACTCAACATTTTGGAAGTAATACTTCAAACAAATCCGGAAATAGCGTTCCTGTGAGTATGCAACGTCCCAAACTCGCCTTTTCTCAGAAATTACTCTGACCATTTGCATTTTCCATCCTTCATTTATATCTGAACAAGACTTATGTTTCCAGCAAAAACATGAAGAATGGAAAAGAGAATATGCTAACAATCAGAATTCTGCTTTCAAAATTCTGAACGTAATAACACAATTTTCTCTTCCCTTAGTCATAAAATGTATGAAAGGAAAAGTAAACAGAAACTACAAAGCTCTATTATCAAATGAATTCTTGCTTATTAGCAACATATTCCCCGATCTACTGTTAAAAAGAACACATAAATTGTTGCAGGCATTGTTATGAGGAACTAAAGCTTAAGTGTTCGACAAAATTACCCAGTAAGAGACCATCCATATCAAAGATGACATGTGTAATGGGTTCTCTGACTGACATATCGGCCGAGGAATTCGCCATTGAGAGATGAACCGCCTAGATCTCACCCTTTCTTACTTCGCGTGAAGAATGAAAAGTTGTTGAAGTAACAGGAGTAATCAGTAATTTATCTGTTCGATCCAATGCAGGACTCCGGAAGCCGATTTCTGAACCCTATCCAATCCTAGATATGATCCCATCGAACTGAAGAGGTTGGCCTTAACCGAAAGCAGTAAAAAGTGACTGTTGCACTTCTGGCCACGGGTGCAAGCCCGGGAGTTCTGATCTGCTCCCAATACACAGTCCCAACAAGCCAGTGCAGCCGTACATCGTGAACATCTCCCTTGTCATTGTCTTTCATGGCGAGATGTTCCCAATCTACAGCGGCAATGGCTTTTTGGGAACAGATCTAGAGTCCATGTCGGGCCAGGTTAGGTTGGGATGAGGTGAGTGAGACCGGATCTGCTCCTCACACCTGGTGCTTCACACGCTGTATTGGGAATATCTCCCGCACTTATTAATTATTATTCACGGGAGATGTTCCCAATGCACGGTGGATGTGCATGTGAGGCGCCCATTTGTGAGGAGCAGATCCCATCTCGAGGTGAGCCCAGATCTATTCCTCATGCCAACCTCACAACACGTCTCATCTATACATCGGAAACATCTCCTGTTCTTCGTGTTGTTATTCATGGGGGATATTCTCAATACACAATGGTGTGGTGGCTGTGAGATGTGCTCCATGAGGAGCAAATCCTGATTCAAGGCCAATCTTAATCCAACCCAAGGTTTTAACCCCTAACCCAACATGATATTCTTTATTTTTTTAGTAAAACAAAGGAAAGGCAAAGATTGGATAGCAGTCAAGCTGGACATGTCCAAGGCTTTCAACAAAATGGGTGGGAATTTTCTCTTGGTCGTTCTAGAAAAAAAAATGGTTTTTCCTACACAATGGAGAAAGTTAATTGAACAATGTATTAAATCTCCCACTATCTCTATAAAAATCAATGGGGAAGCACAAGATCATTTCAAATTTAGTAGATCCTCTATCTCCTTACCTTTTCATCATTGGCATGGAGGCTTTATCTCAACTCCTAAATTCAAAAGTTGTGTTGAACAAAATTGAAGGCATCAGGATTAGTAAGTTGGTTCCACCCATTACTCATCTATTTTTTGCCGATGACTGTTTTATATTCTGCAGGGCATACCTTAATCAAATCAAAACTCTCAAACACATTCTTGAATTCTTTGAAGCTATCTCGGGTCAAAATCTAAATTACTCAAAGTCACCGGTTATGTTCAGTAAGAATATTCATAGACGACATTAGAAATTCATATCTCATGTTCTCTCTATTCCCAAGTCTAATGACAAAGTAATATATCTTGGAGCTAAATTATGGTTAGGAGGTAACCTCCATTCCTATCATCTTGAAACTTTGGAGAGAGTAAAGAGCAAAATTGATTCATGGAAATCTAAGTTGCTTTCTCAAGCCAGAAGAACCACTCTAATCAAGTCAGTTGCCCAATCTATACCTCTATACTCTATGTCTACTACCATACTCCTGGTCAGAGTTCACATAGAGTTGAACAAAATACAAAGAGGTTTTTGGTGGAATGGTTCAAGCAGCCAAGACAACAAGCACACCATTTCATGGGACAGGTTTTGCATTCCCAAAGTTAAGGGAGGTCTTGGTTTCAAAAACTCCTCCGGTATGAACAAGACAATGTTTGGGAAGCAAATATGGAGATTGATGAAGCATCCTATGGTCTCGGTGTATCAAGGCCAAATACTTTTTCCTCATAATAGTATTTTTCTTGCAAAGCCAAAAAGCTCACCACTCACTCTGGTGGAAGCATGCAGTTAAGATTGTAAGTACTTTAAAGAGTGAGTTGATATGGCTAGTCAAAGATGGGACAAAGATTGATGCTCTAAATGATCTTTGGGTGCCCACTATCCAAGGAGGAATTCCAATAAGAAACAATCATAATGAAGTTTTAAATGTTAAACAAATTATGGTGGTAGAATTGCTTCAACCTGATGGAACCTGGAACCTAAGCTCTCTCCTTCACTTCTATGGCAGGGAGTCTGTTGAACATATTCTACAAACACAACCTAACCCCTCCCTATCATCTGATACCTTGTTATGGAAAAAGAACAATTCAGGTGCTTTCACTGTTAAATCAGCATATCAAATTTTTCAGAACATCCATCCATCCTCATCAGCAACCAGTTTCAAATAGACACATATTTGGAAAACCAAAATTCCATGTCGTTATCAAGTTTTTCTTTGGAAGGCACTATGGGATGGAATATTAACTAAGGATAAGCAGGCCAAGTGGATACCCAATGGACAAACCACCTGTATTCTATGTGAAAATTCAGGAGAATCATTTCATCACCTATTCTTCAAATGCCCTTTTGCTAGGGCTTTACAAATTGGTATTAACCCAGAAGGGATTCAAATCTGGCCATTACACAGAATTATCACTAAGTGGCTATCTGACCTCTCTCTCATGCTGAACAAACAACAAGTGAACAAGATAATCTCTCTGTTACAATTAGCACTCTACCATATTTAGAGTATGTGACATTTAAATTTAGTAATAATAGGAGTATAAATCAGGATACACTTAGGATTGAAAACCAAGAGATAACTCAATATGACAATTTCTAGTAGTTCAATTATTCATAAGAAGGGAGAGATCGAGGAGGATGTTACCTAGATAATTAGAGTTTAGAGCTGATTAGGCAAGATGGAGGGGTGTAAATGGACTTTTGCATAATAGGAGAATACCACTTAGAATAAAAGGAAATTTCTATAAAATAATTGTAAGGCCAACACTGTTGGATCAGAGTGTTGGGCAGTCATCAAACATGTTCAAAAAAATGAGTGTGGTATAAATGCAAATGTTAAGATGGATGAGTGGAAAAAACTAGAAAATATAGGATCATGAATGAATCCATCCATAAAAATCTAGGAATAGCTCCAATTAGTGATAAATTTAGAGATAGTAGGCTAAGATGGTTTGATTAAGTGCGCAGAAGACCACCAACAACTCCAATTAGAAGTGATTTGTTACAGGTAGAGGGGGTTAGAAGAGCTAGGGGTAGATCAAAAAGGACATGGGTAGAACTGTAGAAGTAGTAAGAAATGACTGAAGCACTAATAATTCAACAATGAATATGCTTTTAAATACAACAGGATTCATGTTGTTGACCCCATATAGTTAGGATAAGTTATGGATGATGATGATGGTGATGGTGATGATGTAAACTTTAGAGGCCTTAACTTTGCACTTGGTTGTCCTATTGGGGTGATTTTTTTTTTTTATTTTGGGCAATTTTTTTCTATTTGCATGTTCCAAAGTGTTAAAGTCACCTTACCTCGCTATTTTGCTAAAAACACCTTTTTGGCCTCAAACACTAATTTTTTTTTATATTAAAAGTTTAAAAACATAATAAAGAATATATATTATAGTAGAATATAATTATGAAGCCCAGGCCTACATTAGGGCCACAAATTTTAGGACTGAGCCTAAGCTAGTACTTTAAGCTTGCCTTGGAGCCGGCTCGACCAGCATATATTTTAATATATGAACATTATAGATAACGTATACTTATGTACTATGTTATTCTATGTTATATCATCTAAGGTTTTAAAATGCGACCTAGAACTAGAATTGCTTTAGCCACCAATTTCTAGATTAGTGATTCAGTTGTTCTGTTTGAACAAATCGGACGTAACAATTTAAAACTCAAAAAAATAATTAAAATATAAACAACCCAAAACCATTGTTTGGCTCAAATAAGTCGACGGTTCGACCATTATGGGTCAGCGGGTCACTGAACAATTAAAATTTTTAGGCAAAATTCTGGTTTGGGTTCAAAACGGAACTAGCACCCTAACCAATTCCCATGCCAAACAGTCCAACTGTTTGGGAAAATGATTGTTTGAAAATCATGAAGACATATTATGTAATATTTTATATTGTATAATATATAAATAAATTTATATGTATATTATATGCCATTTAATATAAATATTATATAATATTTATATTACAAAAGATGTAAGCCCAGAATCAAGCCCACCCGGCCCCGACCCCTATAAGCTTAGGCCCGAGCTTATATGCAAACCCAAGTATGGGCCCATCTATGATCACCCCTAGCGGATCGAGCGGTCACACATCTCACACTAAGCATGCTCCCAATTCCATGGTGGGACACACGGCTTGGCTTAGACTCTACCAATACGAAGTTAACAAGATCATGAGGTTTTGCCTATACGTGGTTTCTTCAGGATAGATTTAGCGAGATTGCCATACTAATGAGGTTGCCTCGTTAGTGAGGTTGTATCGTTGGTGAAGCCACCTCATTATCAAGCTCAATGTTTTCAAAACGAGATTGGACTAGACGGTCGAACTGGAAAAATTGGGAATTGGTCTCTTGATTGGTTTTGTTTTACCTCAAAGCCGCTGTTTGGTCAGAAAACCGTTGATTTGATTAATGAATCACTGACCTAGGTGGTAGAACCGTTCGACATGGGAACGATTTTGACCATTTTTTGGGTTTTTTAAATTATTTTATTTTTTGTCAGAATAGACCAAACAATCGGACCGTTTGACCCAAAAACAGGACCTCTTCTACTACCAAACTTTTTCACAATCCTTTTTCTTGCACCAAGTCTTTAAATATACATCCACAATCTCACATTAGCCCCTCTGCTTAACGACCATCCTTAAACAACAATTCGCTAATTAGTGAATTTGATCCCTATTATTGACCATTAGCCCCCATTTTTGGAGTAATATAACATTACAAAAGTTAAAACAAGTGAAAATTAGCCTCCAAAATTGAAGAAACTTTAGAAAGATAAACCCTTAAAATTATAAAATAATTTTAAAAAGATCAACCCCCAAATTACTAAAGAATTTTTGGAAGAGATTAACAAAAATTTTAGACCCAAATTACCACATGTTATATCAATAAATTATTCGAGCAACAAGATTAGCCCCCAATAACTCAGTATTTTCATAGGACTCGTTACTTTCCAATGTGTTAATAATACCAACGGGGTCCAAAGAAGAAACACTAGAAACTAGAATATCAGTAAGTAATAAGAGTAAAAGTAGGAGGGTGAGCCATTTTTCCCATGAATAGGAAGATCAAATAATAGAATCAAGAGAAAATTGATTAGGCGTTAACAATAGTAATATATTGAATGATTATTATCACCAATCCCAATGTACGACTCCGTAATTAAACATAGCATGCATCCAACATGGTTAGCAATAAGAAACCTTAATGAACACATTTTTGACATTACAACTTTCCAAAGAACCTTGACGGAGGGAATTTCGAATATTTAATAGGGAAAATTCCCGATCAATACCATGTATTTTGGTTTGAGTGACAATTTGGTCCCCAAACTTTAAAATGCGATAATTCAGTATTCAAACTTTTAAAATGTAACAATCCAATATCCAAACTTTTAATGTAGCAATCCAGTACCTGCCGTTAACCAATCCGTTAATCAGCCGTTAAGTGATATTTGAAAAATAAAAAATGCCCTTCGAATGCCATCTAATTCTCTTTAACAACCATCCAAATGTTGACAAAAAATTGAGCATCCCAAATCCTAGCCTCTTTTATTCAAAAAAAGTTGGTGATTGTTTAGAAGAATCTAGAATTTGGGATTGTTCATTTTATTGTCAATATTTGGATGGTTGATAAAGAGAATTAGATGGCATTCGAAGGGCATTTTTGTCTTTCAAATGTCACTTAACGGCTGATTAATGAACTGGTTAACAACAAATACTGGATTGTCACATTTTGAAAATTTGGGTACTTGATTGTCACATTTTGAAAGTTTGGGTGCTAAATTGTCACATTTTAAAGTCTAGGGACCAAATTGTCACTCAAGCCAAAGAACATGGTACTGATCGGGAATTTTCCCTATTTAATATTGTGCTCTCCACAAATTTGAAAATTTTGGCCTCGCTTCCGAATTCGACCTCATTCCCAAATCTAATCTTGCTCACTAACATAACCCTATTACCAAATGCAATCTATCCATAAAGCAACCTCACAAACAGCCTTATCCTATTTTCTAAAAACATTTTTTTTTAGAGCTTTGGGGCTAATCTTTGTAAGTGTTTTCATAATAACAAAGCAACCTCATTTTAAGTGCTTTCTTACTGCACTTTATTGTTGAACCGGAAGAATCTATAAGCAAATCTACATTAAATTAATAAAACATAAAAAAAAACCTAGTAACCATAGAAAGGAGAAATAATTTCTTGAAAATTGGTTCACCCATGTTGATTGACAAATTTGGGTTTTAACATTAGTTTATTTAAAGGTAGGATTCATATTTAGGTTAGCCCTTAACCTAACCCAATCTATCTAATTAACACCCTTACTTTATTAGTTAGAACCAAAAGGAATTAAAAGAGATCTAAGAGGAAGAGCAATTTAATGGGGAGGGGAGATGTTACAAACATTGACTATTAGGGAGGGGGGGGGGGGGGGGGGGGGGGGGAGAGAGGTCATATTAGAGACTAAATATGGCTTTTATGACAATCAAGATCCATGAGGGTTTTAGAGAATAAATATGGCTTTTATAAGAGACAATAAAGACCAATGAGGGTTTTAATTTTGCCTTGTTATATTTTTAACAAATTCATTTAAAAATAAATATGCACATGTGCAAAAAAAGAGAATAGGGATGTCAACAGTATTCGAGAATCCAAGTTCGAATTCAATATTCGATATAACCGAATCGAATTCGGATATCCTATTCATACTAAATAGTTAATCGGATTCGAATTCGGATATGACCTTATTCGATTCAATAAATATCCGAATTCGATCGATTATTTAATTCTTATATATAATATATAAAATTTTTTATATAGTTTATATATAATAATTAAGTTATAGAAATAATTTATATATTTTATATCAATAAAATATTTATTTTATATTTATTAATTATCTAAAATAATTAATTAATCGAATCAAATATTTGAATATTTAATCGGATTCAAATTTGGATATTAATTTTCAATATCCGTCGGATATCGAATTGAATTTGAATCTTGAAATTTCTAATCGGATTCGAATTCAGATATTGCCTGACATGATTCCAATTCTATCTGTTTACACCCCTAAAAGAGAGTAGGGGGAGGCACATGTGAGCTCGTGGTGAGAGGACTCCTCACCTCCCCTCTTTCCTCTTTCTATTATATATATTATAATGTCAGGTTATAGGTTATAACCTGAATAATCTACACTGCTTGCCCACATTTTAGTCTATCACTTCAGACATTATTTTGTTGGGGCCTTCAAATGATACCCACTGCCTAAAAGAACAAAAAGTATTATCTGTAATCAATAACATAATCAAAACTATTAAGAGTTTGCCTACTAAATTTTTGGCACTTTGAATCCATAGATAACTCGTTCAAATAAGATTTCAAATGATTTGCACTATAATTTACATGACGAGTTTGAGGTTAATATTTTGCACCTCCTAGTTAATAGCAAGAGCCGAATCATCAGGAAGCTCATTGGTAGTTTGTGTGAGTTGAAAGAGCATGGAATCGCCAAATAGCAGGTAAGATTCCAAAGTGAAGGATGCGAGATTATGATCTTGGAATCAACAGATATCACGCAGGAGCCAGTATCTAGTATTCTGTTTCTAGAACCCCATCAATGAGACCAAACTCTAAAGCCTGAAAAAGAAGCATATAAGAGTGAGATTCTGATCATTAATGAGGAACATGAAACACCTATATGTTGGTTCTCTACCAAGGAAATCTCCAGGAATAACCAGGTAGATGACTGAAATTATCTCTGTAGAAAAGAAAACACAGGCATAGAACAACATTACCTCAGAAGCAGATAAAAAACGATCTCTCTCAGTGTACTGTTGAACTTTCTCTAGAGGTTGGCCGGTAAAAGCAGCATACATCTTGTCAATTTTCTGCATAAATTACGAGGATAGAATGTAAGGCCGGAGGTGTGGCTTAGATGTTTGTTAAGGTTGAATGTCCATAGCCCCAAGCAAGACGGTTAGGAACCATTAAAAAATGCCAGAAGGTAAGATTTGACTTGTAAGTCCTTGTTTCCAAATTGAACATATCATCAATAAGAAACCCATAACAAATTAAAAGCTAAATTTCAACTGAATTGACTAGGTAAAGTTTCAGGTTGACCAAGTCTATAATCAGCTTTTAGTCTAATTATTGAAATATCAACCAGAAAAGCTATGGTTTCACAAGAAAATATAGTCAAGTCATCAATTACTCAAATCAGACCACAAGCTTTCAAAAGAAATAGAATCTAACATGACGAGATTGAACGGCTTCATTGACTTGGCGCCTCACATCCTCCACATGACCCTACAAACAAACAATACATAGTCAATATACATGATTTATGGATCTAAAAAAAATATATATACATGGCTTATGGTAAAAGAAAGCACAGTCTGGTTCATCAAAAAAAAAGGAAGAAATTGAAAATTTGAGCAGTAGTCATGCTTAGGACCTCTGTGCTGTGTATATGCAAGCCTTAAAATTCCAACAGCTAGGGGAATAAAGTTGACACCGATTGAAAAAGTGACTACATGACCATTCCCATTGGTTCCCCAACTGATACATGGTCTAGCCTGGTTGAATGATCCCTCCACCTGGCCAAAATGGGTGAGATCATCTAAAGAACTATAACCTAAACTATCCAGTTTTTTATGTACATAAATTGGACATCACAACTGATTTATTCAATTAAGTCTCTTTTAGGTCAGAGATAAACCATAAAAACAATTCAAAATGGAAACAGATCATGGGAGGATACGTAAAGAAAAAGAGGAGCAGGAGCTTGCAGGACCAAACAAATCTGTACCTTGCAAAATATGTTTGTTGTGACCCTCTGACCCTCAAAATAGAGGTCCACCAAAATCCCTGGTCAAGTAGGAATAGGGTAACAGCTAGGGATGCAACTTAAGTGGGTTTGGGTCAAACATTTGCCAAAATTTGAATGGGCCTGGGCCTGATGCTGTTTAAATGCAAGTTAGGTACCCAACTTGCACCCCTAGTAACAGCAGTATTTGAAGCCAAGGCAATGAGATGGGAATAACAGCAGTACTCTAAAATTTGAGATTTCCACATTGAAAATCTTATTAAAAAATGAATAAACATATAAAGAAAATGCAAATGAACTTCCATCAAAGGCAAAAGGTTGCATCCAATGGTCAATTCTTACCCCACATCCACTCTGTGGTTGATGTATCATAATACGTGCATTTGGCATTGCATAGCGCATTCCCTTCTCTCCACCAGCAAGAAGCAGTGCTCCTTGGCTTGCAGCTACTCCAAAACACACAGTGCCTACCTTAGGCTTTATCTGCAAGTTGCAACAATTGATCAAATGTTGGCTGAGGAGGTGATTAATTGTTAAAGGTAAAAGAAAATTCAAAAGACGAGGAACGCAACTTGTTAATGTATAAAAATAAACTGACATATTCCAATATTTGCATATCTGAAATGCACACCCAATATCTTTACAAAAGAGGAAAACTAAGATTCTCATCTGCTAGGTTAGGATGCCTTCCACCCAATATCCACCACAGTACACTTGCAAGGAGCATACATGTAAAAGTGCCATCTTGTAATCTCCCAACCCTGTCAAACACCACCAGGGATATCTAGCCAATATAGACCTAGTAATAAAAACATTACAAGTGCCTAAAAAAGTCATTTTTGAGCTATCCATTATAACTTGTCCAACAACTTAATAGAAGAGCCCAGCAGATTATATATTTGCAGTCATCACATAAGGTAAATCTTGTAGTGGATATTCAAGTTGGAAGCCCATAAAATGTGGATCAAACACATGAATGGAAATACCACACCCAGTATACAAGTTAACCATAAAGCAGTAACAACATAGCAAGATTGTTGTTCTAGGCTTTAAAAATCTTGAATTTCTAAGATTCTAGACTTCTAGATTTCTGACATGGTGAGTCTTGTGGTCAACATAGAAGGAAAATATAAAGAGAGAGATAAGTGCAGACAATAGAAATTAAATCTCAAATTAATTTGGATAATATCAGAGTGAGGTGGACAGAACCTTTTGCATCTATTTGTGCATGTTTCAAATTTGGAGGAAACTTAAGCCTATCAAAGAAATCCTAAATTGGAGAACTTGGACCATCTTGAAGATGAGATATTTAAGTCCCCTAATGAAACAAAGAGAAGATGGCAGCTTAAATCTTTAGCCCAATGTGATCTTGAAAAGGGAAGGAAGCAGTGGGAGGCAAATGCCAAGATGTAGATAGATCAAAGATATCTCTAATTAGAAAGATCTCTCTAATTATTGGTATTCTAAAATGAAAGGTGGATCAGATTCTCCTCATGCTCCAAATACATTTTGAACACTGTTGGAATTATTATGTAGTTTGTACCTACCAAAAAAAAATGGTGTAGTTTCTGTAGTCAATAAACAAGGGAACTCTTTCTGCATAAAAGACTTGATAAGAACCAAACAATGGTCCTCAACTCTTCAAATTAAGAAGCACCATCCACTTCAAAAGAAAACAACACTATGGAGTGCATGTTTGCATTAGCAGGTATATAGTAGACTTCAAAAAATAACAAAAATATCTGCAAGGGGAACAAACAGGCAAAGCTGTAAAGGACAACTGCAATTTATGAAATATTAACCGTGTAAACAGTGTACAAAGAAATCAACTAAGATAATATGATAATATATTAGTATGTAATAACAAATTGCACCACTGACATCCAATTAGAGAATGAAAGCCCTTACCCAAGACATGCAGTCATAAATTGCCAAGACGGAGTAGGTGCTTCCGCCAGGACAGTTCAGGTACACCTGACAAGTAAAATCATAAAACACATGAAGCAAATAAAGAAATAAAAAAAACTCAGTCTCATTATTCATCAAATAAGAAAAAATAACTCATTCTCATCTAAAAAATACACAGTAATCCAGTCACACTAGGGATTAGATGCTCCCAATGCACATTGATAATCTTGGTACTTCAAACTCATATTTTTTTTATGGTTAATATATTTCACATTACTGATAAAAAATGCATAGTAACCAAGAGTAAAACACCTTGGTCAGATCCTCTTCCAACAGACTTTGTAGGGCCACTCTATCTGATTTGGAACCTTGGAAATCCTTACACCAATCCAACTCCAATTCTTCAGTAACACATTAAATTGGGATGTCCCTACCATCCTTGAACTCCACTGCTTTTGTATTTTCACCATCTTCATCAGCTTCATTGGACTGCTGAGAGAAATCTTGATAAATACCCCTTCTACTGAACTATGACTCCAACCCTATTTTCAGTCCACACTTGTTGCCATCAGCGAACATCCTCTGTTTCCCAAACACACTTGGTAATAACAAACTCCCACTTCTTTCCTTTCTTCACTTCACTCACATCCCTAGAGTACTAAAAGCTTCCCCTTTATATATATATAAGTGAAATTCCATTGGTACCTCTCCATGCTTTACAGCGCCTCTTCTAACTTGATTTCTTAATTTAAAAAGAATTCATTTTGTATCTTCTTACCCTCAGCCCACTTGTTTCCAATAGCATATGACCCTTCACATGGTAGCACTTAGCCACACATGCCATCTTATCCCCAAATTCCCTAACTGCTCCATCTTTCTGGCTGTCCCAAGGCAGTCAACTTGAAATTATTCCTTGATATCTTGAATGATAATGTCTTCACACCTTTCCTCTGGCATAGACCAACCTCTGCCCTTACACTTAATCTGTTCCATGTTTGAGAAGCTAAACACGTTCTGGGTTTGAACCTAGCATACGCAACCACATGGACCATTCCCATCCATGTTATCATCACCAACCTTACAGCACCTTCTCTGCAACTCCAGCTTGAAGGAACAGATGAATCTGAGAAGGAGCATAAACCCTTCAACAAATTGTGATGGCTTGAGGAATAGCATCCGGACAATCTCCCACAACAGCTTTGGTAGTAAACCAAAGATTTTGCTGCCTCAATGCTTACTCATCAACTTAAAAATCCACTACAAACACCCCCTGTTTTTTTTTTTTTTTGATCAATAACGGTGGATTGAATTAATATTAAAAATATGAGAAAATTACAGGGCAAGGAGGCTAAACAATCTTAGCTCCCAAGAACAACCATTAAACATCAAAAGAACAAAAATTACAAGACAGCCCAAAAAATAGAATGTCTGTTCACCCCTTGTCTAGATAGACCATCTGCCAAAGAGTTCAAACTTCTTTTTACCCAT